TGATCTTAATATCATCTATAATGTGATGACAACAGCCTCTAAGAGCAACGGGGAAGACAAAGTGGAGTTGCCTGGCTGGGTACCAGAAGACTGGGTCACACCTGGTAGCTGTCTGGCAGAAGTCTGTGGACTGGATGGTCACGTCTGTTGAAGTCTAGATTGCGTGAAAACCCTGGAGAAACAACACAAACAGTTGACAACATTCTTTGGGAACATTCTTTGATCGCAGATTGCCATGGAGGAACTGAGGTGAAGCTAGTGACTGCGCTAAGATTCTCAGTATGTTTGGTTCTTTTGAGTCACTATTGAATCTAGAACAGAAAGATGAGATGGTCACGGCCATCAGTGTAGAAGTGTTCCCAGGAGTTTTGCAGACTGAGCAAAAACACATAGGAAAATGGAGGGAAGCGATCGAGGCGGAAATGAACATCCGACACAGTGAAACTTATCGCAGACCATTGGGAGCGCGATATTTGGTGGGATCGACGTTAGCTCCAATGTGCAAGAGCAGATACCCAGTGCATTTTGTGGCTGTGGATTTAAAAAGTACGAGAACCATCGTGGATCAAGCCTTCTCAGTGCCAAAGTGTGTAAGACTAGCAAGAATGTCGGAAAAGTCTTATGAATTACTGTGCAGAATATTCTCGGCAGTCCCGGAGAGAGCTAAAGAAGAGTTCGAATCGATACTGGGAAAAAATTTCATGGGATACGTCAGTGGGAACTTCAGTGACTTTGAGAGACAAAAACAGAGAGGATCAACCGTTACGGATTACAATACAGTAGATGAAAATGATGAAGTCCACCGAGTGATGATGGAAGTGGAACCACTACTGGAAGCTTCGGGAAAGCGTAACTGGAGGAGCCTCATTTTGACATATGACAAGTTTCCTTGCCATTGCTTGCTGCAAACATGGTGGTACCCCGAACGTAGTAATCTGGTGTTGATCTGGGACTCTGGAGAGCTGCTCTCCATGGGTTTACCAGACTCATCACGGCCCATAACATTAGTGATAGTGGGAGTTATGATGGCGATACGATGGCTGGAAGCTCATGTGAAGGAGAACAATAGACAGGAGGAAACGACGAGAGAAAAATTGCAGAAATTGGACTGTCTAAAAGATTTAGATCTTTTTGAGACAATGTGCAAGATTCTGAACATTCCGATGGAAGTGAAAAAGATATGGGCAAGGAGACGACTGATGCCATGGTTTAGAGCCAACATGACCGCATGAATGTATGAGTATGCCAGGAAGCATATGTCGAAGCACGGCAGAGTGTACAGTGTGTATCAGCTGGACATTGGGATAGGAGCTTTCAAGCGAGTTTTCGTGACTCATCGGAATGCAGTGACCACCGCTGTAAAGAGAATTTCCAGGACAACTGAACGCAATGGAAGAGAGAAGGAAGAGATGTTGAAGGAAGATTTGAAGAAAAACGTGACGTTGTGTCTCCACAACAGCTTCTGCAGGAAAAGAGAATCTAACGTGGATCCCCTACCTTGTTGTAAACAAAGGTTAGAAGAGCAGGAGTGTTGGAGGACTGCTTCCAACAGCGTCAGAATAGCTAACGATCGATTTGTTCCAAGACACAGAAACTGAAAGTGCAGAGTCAATGTCGCAGGAGGAGGAGATAGAGCATTGACAAATGGTTGGAAAACAAGATGTGAAAAGAAAGAAAATTAGAAGAATTTAGAAGTTTTAGAACTTCTAAACGACGATTAAAGAAGAAACAAAGAAGTGACGAAAGAGAAGAAGTTAAAACTCAGAATTGTTTTATGTGTGAGACAAAAACTCAAGTGAGAAACTAAGCAACCAAGTTGTAATTGAAAACTGAAAGAAAACATTTAGTTGAGTTTTGAACGTTAAAGTATTTGCTGCATTTATAAATTTGTATTTTGATTTTGGTTAGTGGCTTTAGAGAGTGGCTTTATTTAGAAAAGCTTGAGCAAAGAGTATATTTAAATGTTCTAGCCTGCATGATTGTTTTTAATCGACTAGGACAACTGATAACTTTGTGGTGACATGAAAGGCTTGATTAATCTCTTGAAGAGGGAGATTGATTCATTGTTCTTTCTAACCACAGAGTTCTTTAATTTTAATATTCAGGACAATAACAACCAAAATTTCTGGAGGGAAGAAGCATAGTAGGATAATTTTAGCTTGTTGTTTGGCAGGACTGTCCTGCAAACCAACATCTTTTAAAACCTAAGAAAAAAAAAGTTTTAAATCAGGGCGTTGACGTTGGAAGTCAGAAAAAATGTTTTATCTTGAGTCATATCCTTGAAAGTGCAGATTAGTGAAAGAATTTGGAAGGCTATAGAAGTGTAGTATGATGACATTTATATTCTGCAGTGAATCGATATGACGTGGATAAGAGTAATTTCGTGCATTTTGTAAATTCTGTTCGATGACACTGTACCATTTTTACGAACATTGCGAGATTCAATGGGGACATTGACAGGGCTGTCCGGTGAGTATGTGACACTCGACCAGAATGGACAAAAATGCAGATTCGGCGATTTCGAATAGTTAGCAGCTAACCTTCCGAATTGACAGTTTTGAGAGATTAGTGACGTTATTGGGATGATTAGTCAAACGGTGAAGGTCGAGATATTCTGGAATTTTGAATTTTTAAAAATTCGAACTGAGAAGTCGCACTTCTGAAAAACGGCAAAAACTGCCATTTTGGAAGAAAACCAGGAGAAAATCAGAACAACAATAGTTGCGACGAAGATAACTACGAAAAAATCGAAGATCAGAATCGAAGAAAAAGCAGAGTTAGCAGAGACCGTTCCGAGTTGCAACGATTGTGTCGCTACAATCGTTGCAAGGCCGTTCACAACAACGGTGAAGGGTAGAAAAACAGCCTTCGGGAAAGAAGATAAGATTGTTATTTCCCCGGATTCAGGAATCCGGAGGGGTCTCGGGATTTGAACTGAAACTGTTTTATATTAACTTTTAGCTTACCGGTTATGTCTTGAATTGAATTTATCTAACATCTGAATTCATTTTACGAGCGCTGCAAGAGATCTAGAGTAGCCCTGTTTTTAGGAGTGACCTCGTGGTCTGGGGATACTGAGAACCAGCCATGAGCTCAATAGTTTTGCATGTAATTAAATAATTTGAGCGTTCTGATCGAAGCCGGAGAGCAGTAATGTTTTTGTCGACCCGATGTTGAGAAGACCACCAAAAGAACTGGCTTTGGTAGAGACGGTGAAAAGCATGTAGAGCTCTGTTTAGACGTTGGCCAGTCGTTTTAGAACCTTGCTTTATTTTCCGTTGATGTGTTCTTCCGGGAGAATGTAACATAGCGCAGATAATAATTGAGAAATTATAGATAGGTCAAACAACCAAACAAAATTGTTAACACTAGAGGCAATACATATCAGGAAATAGAAACCGGGCTTGAACATGCGCGATGAGTTTAGGAGCTGGGAGTTAAAACTGAAAATTTAGTCCCAAAATATTTTTGGTTTTTTATTTAAAACGTACATGTCTAAATCGAAATTATGACTGGGAAACTTCCAGACAAGTTAATTTAAAACTAATCAATTTATTTTAGAGGTTAAAAGTATTTTAATCGTAATAGTAATTTAGAGTTCAACTGTGATTGGCTAATTTTTTAACATGATTGTTTAGAATCAAAATATATGTGAATTTTTGTAAATAATATTTGTAAATCGATGTTTTACCGTCATTTAGATAAGTTTATTGTGAAAATCCTGACGGTGTACATAATTGCGAAAACGTTTGAAATTTTCTTTTTAGCAAAAGTTTCTGCAATTATCATTGTTACATTATTATTCTGTAAGTATTTATCATACTAGACAAAAATTGCATGACCTACACTTGCATCATGTTATTGCTTATCATTTTGCAATTTAAAGTTTGCAATTTTGTTAACTATCTTTTTTTTTATCTAAAGAAAACTTGGAAGTTGCTTACGCTCAAGTTTGATTTTGTGGCAAATGGTGGAAAAATGGTGGAAAAATGGGCTCTTTTCCAGTCCCCCCCCCCTTCAAATTCAATTTTGAAAAATCTATTTAACGTTGTCAAAATGTAATGAAAATTGGCGTGATGAACAAATCGACAATTCTGAACAAATTTCTTCTTCATACTTTACAGCGTAACATCACGCATTTAGCCGTAATAACACGTAAAAGATATATAAAACTCGGTATTTTGAAAAGTGGGGGGGGGGGGGAACTGGAAAAGAGCCGAAAAATGTGAATAACTTATGGTTCCAGAAATTGACTTCAACTTTCAGAATTCGCAGCAGAAATACCCCAGACGCCGAAATAATATTTTATATGGAAGCTTTTCAAACCATTTTTTCCGTTTGAGGTAATTGGCAAATTTTCAAATGGCTGTTTTAGGTTTCTTTTCTTATATATTTTTCTATCTTATTATAAAATTGAATTTAAGATGTCTTGGATGCTTCAAAGTAAAGACTCAACCGTTTATTTGCGGTTGAGTCAAAGAAAATATTTAACTGGTGCTCCAATTTAATTTCCTTGCGATCATTGGGGAAAAAATTCATCGAGTGTCCTCCTGCATCAGGAAAAGGAGGCTGGGAGGTATTGGAATGCCTACATAGCTTAAATGCTTCCTTTTGGGAAATATATGACAGCTTAGTGTTTTTTTTAAAAACCTTCTTTTTTTTCGAAGCCGCAAATATTGGTGCCACTTTTGGGACTCCTTTGCAGCTTTTTGATAGCATGCGCTTTGACATTCGATTAGTAATAAGTCAACACAATTGATTCATCTTAAAACTTGCAAAGCGATTGTATTAGTGCGAAACTTCTTTTTTTCCAAGCTAAGTCGCAAATATTGGCGCCACTTTTGGGGCACCTTTACAGCTTTCTGATAGCATGTTCTTTGACATTCGATTAGTAACAAGTTAACACAGTTGTTATATGCCAGTTTGACAATTGACAACCATCTTAGATGACTTCAACTTTTCACATGTAATCAGGACAGTTCATGTATGTTTAGTTTTCTATCTTGTTATAAAATTGAATTTAAGATGTCTTGGATGCTTCAAAGTAAAGACTCAACCGTTTATTTGCGGTTGAGTCAAAGAAAATATTTAACTGGTGCTCCAATTTCCTTGCGATCATTGGGGAAAAAATTCATCGAGTGTCCTCCTGCATCAGGAAAAGGAGGCTGGGAGGTATTGGAATGCCTTCATAGCTTAAATGCTTCCTTTTGGGAAATATATGACAGCGCAGTATGCTTGGACAAACTGCACAAAATTTATGAGCTCATTGTCGAAGACAGAAACGCAAGAGATCTAGATGAAAGTATGAAAAACAGTCCAAATGTCGAAAACCTTGTGTCTTTTGGTGAGTTTTTTCTTAGTAAATTTTCCTAGTTCGACTGTGGTTTCATAAAAAGATTTTTGATTCGATATACGCGATAATGGTTAATTTTACGAAGGAATTGCTCCTGAAACAATAACACAAGAGCTCTTGTGTTAAAAATTCATAAATTTTTAACGCAACTGTAAGGTTGTCCAAAAATATGTCAAATTGTTTCAGGTGGGGTTCAAGTATTGCAAAATCTTGTTCTGGAGCTTCCTTTCAATTTCGAATCCACTGGCAAAACAGAAGTGCAAAAGAAGAAAGAATTGGAAACGTACGACAAAGTGCGTTTTCTCGCAATCCAATTACTGCATACACTGTCTACCTCAAGTCCCCTTAGAAACGATATTCTCTCAAAGGCGAGTTGAATTGTATCTCTAATGTCTTTTCATTTGAGCAAACATGATGTAAAGACCAGCCCAGTAAAGATTGTAATACCAGAATTCATAAAAGAAACAAATTAGGATGTTTGAAAAACACCGGAAATAATTATTTTCTTAAAGTTGAGTAGTTTTAGTGAGGAAGTATAATTTTATTTGCTTCATGGAAATGAAATTGTCCTCATGGCATGTAATCTAATCGATCAAAAATGGCAAAAATATAGGAGTAATACCATGCTAGTCATGTGTAATAACAGATTTTCTAATCTTTTCTCATTCGATCAATCCATTTTCTGGTCCAGCTTTCGAGTAATCTGGATCTAATTCGAAAACTGTTGGACTATCTGGCTAACCGGCTGCTAGGCTACGTGTCTATGCTTCTGCTGGAAGACCTCATGGTGCACAGAGAGGAGCCCCTGGAACTGAGAGCTCTGGACATCGACCGACTCCTGACGAGTCTGAGTCTGGACCAGATGAGTAACCTGTGCCGGGTGCTGTCTTATACTGTAGTTGATATGGGCAGTGAGCCTGAGGAGCTGCTCTGTGCAATTGACAGGACAAAGCGCAAAGCAACGCGGAACAGTGAAGCTTGTGAAAAGGTAATAATGTCCACTTGATTTTTTCATAACCAAACCCTCAAAAACCGGGCTATTGTTGGCCAAATGAAAATGAAATAAGCAACCAAAATTTAACTAATGAAGAAGAAAACGTTTTTCAATGGCATTTTCAGCACATACCTAAAATTGGTGTTCAGAAATTTCGGCGCATTTTTGATTTTTTGCTGTTAGACTTTGAATTCAGTTCAGTTCATATCTGAATTTAGTTCGTTTCTTTTGATGACTTTTGATTTTTTCAATTCAAACGTTTCGTTTGTTAAAAGGAAGGAAAACTCCATTATCCTCAATTTAGATTTTTTATTTTTTAAAGAATGCTAAAAATGAATTGTTCTTCAATTCAGAGCTTCAAGGGCACATATTTTTCTCAAGGGCAATCGATTTTCTTGCGTTCGTTACTCTTTTCCAACTGTCAGTTGGCTATGTTTTTTGTTCACGTGTAGAACATCTTGTACCTGGCGTCTCTGCCTCGCCTGCTTGTGAGTGTGGTTGAGATAGTAGTGAGGAAGTTCGAGCCCAGCAACAAACTGTTCATGGAGTACCTGGGAGTGGCCATCGACATCCTAGAGGAAAACTCCTCCCCCGCCACCTCCCTCATCGCCTCAATCCGAATGACATATATGGCTAATCACGACAGCACAGGTACAGAGCTTTTTTAACTGCATTTACACCAGCAAGTAGAGACTTTCAATGGGCATCCTTATTCCTTGAGTCCATCGTTTTTTTGGGCTTCTTATGTGAATTTCAAAATAATGTGTTGAGATAATTTTGCAAAATGCCATTGGAGGTTTATACTTCGGATTATTGCTAACCAAAGCTGTTTGTGTTTTGGTGAGAAATAGTTTTTTTTTGTCACCATATCGTTTGGATCAAGTTGAAAAATAAAGGATACCTGGGACACTGACTATAAAACTTGATAGACCGATGAAAAATATAGTTAATAGCATAAATTAGATTTGGCCTTTTTCTTCTGTATTTGGTAACTTGAGTGAGAGTGATCTTCCCTAAGCCTGATTTTATAACTAGCGTCAGCTTAGTGTTTTTTTAAAAAAAAAACCTTCTTTTTTTCGAAGTTGCAAATTATCAAGAAGTCGCAAATATTGGTGCCACTTTTGGGACTCCTTTGCAGCTTTTTGATAGCATGCGCTTTGACATTCGATTAGTAATAAGTTAACACAGTTGATGCATTTTTAATTCATCAAATGAACCAAAAAAATAATTGTTCAAACCACATAAAAATAAGGAAAACTCGATTTCAGAAATTTTGTTTTGCAATTTGCATGCAAAGTTCGTGTGGATGCCTTCAGTTTGTTATATTCCAAATTATTGCTTGCAAAATTGAGTCTGTTTGTATTTGGTGCCTTTTTTGCCGAATAGCATTGCCATTTCATTAGCATATGTAGCTGGTTTGTTCGTGACTAGTGTTTGTTAGTTGTTAAGCTAGCGTGGCTGAGTGGATAGTGCGTGAGACTCAAAATCTCTTAATTGCAGTAGGTCGCAGATTGGAATCCTACACGTAACCGAGTTTTTGCTAATTCGAGGTTTCTTTCTGCTTTTTAATATTTGTTTTGATACAGCTGCTTTTTAGTCGTGTTCTCCTTCGCCTCCGTGTTAATTAATTCATCAAATTAACCGGAAAAAAAATATTTGTTTCAAACAACGTAACAATCATAAAAACTCGATTTCAGAAATTTTCTAACTCATATCTCGCAATTTATTGAAATGCATAAGTTATACACAATTTGTAACTGGCAAAGTTGGTGTGGATGCCTTTAGTTTCTTATATTCCAAATTATTTCTTGCAAAATTGTGTCTATTTGTATTTGGTGTCACTATTGCTGAATGGCACTGACATTTCTCAGCATATGTAGCTGCTTTATTCGTGACTAGTGTTTGTCGGTGGCTAAGCGTGCGTCGCTGAGTGGTTAGAGCTTGAGACACAAAATCTGTGGTTGCAGTTGGTAGCAGATCGAATCTAGCCGAATTTTTGCTAATTGGAGATTTATTTCCATTTCTTTTTGCATTTTCTGGAGCTGCTTTTTGTCGTGTTTTCGCTTGTGTTTGCCAAGCGAAGCTTCGCCTCTGTGTTGACAATTGATTTTGCGGAAACTTTTGCGGAACTTTTTTTTTCTGTGCTACGTGGCTAGAAAGATATTATGAATTTTGTGATATCAGGACAGTTTCCGCCTCTGAACAACAACACGGAACAGCTGATCAGTGCTATGAACAGAATAGAAGTGAACAAAGACCTCACCATGCGAATAGAGGGATGCATCCTCCTAACTGGACTTCTCTACGGCAGTGGACGCAGTAGCACGGTGGATAAACTGACTCAGTACAGACTGATCCCGAGGATAAACGATTTGTTCAATTTCTTCTTTGCAATCGACCCAGACACAGGGACCCTCACGACAGAGCAATATGGATTCATAGAAGGAGAGAGTCTGATACAGAGTCTTCGCATTCAGGTAGACAGGCAGTGTCAGCTGTGATAAGCGTCATAGTCTGTTTTTTATTTGAAAAAATGAAATTTAGGCAACATCAACTGCCTTGGACGCTTGACTGGTCAGAAAAGCTGGACTGGTCAGGCAATTGGCGTTTTTAACATTCTCTTTATATTTTGAAACTTTAAAACAAAAATGTGATTTTGCAATCGAATGCATGGTGGGTAAAGTCGATTAATTTTGATTAGATTCTTCGCGTCATCCACAGCATGTGTGATCAGACAGTGAATAACTGTGCCTTACTGACAGAAAAAGAGTTCCAGAAGCTAGAACATACCAGAGATCCACACGGAGTGCTGGCCCCGGTAGAGTTGACGAAGAAACCCCATCATATGTGCAGAGGGTCAAACGGAGGATTGCTGACTAAATTGAACAACCTCGCGAAGGTTGATCTTTCTCCAGTCTATAGGCAAGTTCGCTAATGTAACCTAGTTTAAATTCGTTAGAAATGAAGATTTAATCAACAAATTTTGGTGAGCTCAAAAATCTTTCAACGGTTCCAAATATGGAGGGGAGAGCTACCGTTGAAGCATGTCATCTTCTAAATATCCATGAATTGATCATCTTAGTTGATTCAAAAAGGTATTTTTAACATCAGAGGGAAACGATTCCACTTCGGATGCAAAAGTTCTAAAAAGTAGGGATTGGTTATAGGTTCTGGTTGCATCGTGCAATTGAGAGCTTCCTGCGTGGCAAAGCTCTCTACCCCTACCAAGTGTTCATGAGCGAAGCGGGACTCATTGAGAATACAGTGGACAGAATCCTCTCACTGAGTGGAGCTGGTCTGCCTCATAGGAACGGAAGTCCAGCAGGAGTTGGGGGATTTGAATCTATGATAAGCTCAACTATGTCTAGTGTTACGACTGCCCCTGCAACAGAACCCACAGCGGCTGGAGCTACAACAGCGTCTACGACGACTAATACTTCGACTGCAGATTCAACGTCGTCGTCTGCAGAATCGTCAGCAAATACACATTCACGTAAGCATTACTGACATCTGACGTTGTTTTAAAATGTCAATGAACAAATTGAATCATCTGAAAAATTTCACCGAATTATTGTTTAATTTAAACTCAAGTTCGGCACAATATTGTAATGGGTGGCAACTAAGAAACTATAGAAGTCATGTATGAACTAAGCGAGCGTGCAGCGAAAAAAAAACGGAGCTGACGTTATATCCAAAACTTAAGCGACTTCCATGTGCAATTTGTGTTTCAGAAGTGGGTCACAGCTATGAGGACATCATCCAGTGCAGCTTCGACCTGCTGGCCCAGATGGTCAAGTTCAACGTCTCCTCTCTTCAGCTTCTCTCTAAGAGGCTCGTCATGGCGACTTCAGCTCCTGGAACTACTGAAAGCCAGAGAGCATACCCCGAACCCATGGACACTTCAGGTAACATAAGTATACGAACTGAGTATGTTAATCGATTCAATGTTCAAGCATTGCTTTCAATGTGAACTTATTAACAAGAAGTTTTCAGAGTTTTTGTGAAGTTCTCAAATGTTTATTAGAGGTAGTTCAGCGTAGATAAAAAACAGCAAAGTTGTAATTTCACGGTAGTTTTTGATTTTAATGGCAGTCATTTTCAGATTGACTGACTATTGATGGTTTTTTGAAATGTTCAATGTATGTTCGTGTCAGTTTTTGATTGGTTTTCGAAAAGTTATTCACCCATTTCCAAAAACAACGGATGAATCTATTTTCAGGTCACTCGCAACCTGTATCCTCTTCACGGTCATCCTCGTCTAGTTCAACCTGGTCTGCAGTTGGAAGAGACTTCTGGGGTAGAGTCCGAGCAGCAGAACAGAATCAATCGAGTCAGTCTTCCTCACAGACCAATCAACGAAATTCTAGGTCAAATCAAGCACCCAGTGCCAGATGGGGAGGCGGTTCAGACAACGATTCGATGTGGCCATGGAACATGGCCTCTGCGATAATGGACACCTCTGGAGAAACCAGCAGTGGTAGTAGCACTAATGTGTCCACAAGGAGTAGCTATGTGAGTGATGGTCAAACGGGTTCAAGGTCATCTACGATGTCAAGAGTGACTGCAGGAACTTCAGTAGTGGAGGTGGAGTCTAGGCTGCAGAATTTTGTCAACATCATCTTTGATAACATCATTGATAGCAACATGTTTGTCAGGTAATGCATTTTGATTGCAAATGAATGTGGCCAAAATACAATTTTTCTGTACGGCTTTGTATTCAAATTCATCTGTGCGTCTAGGTTACGAGCGTTTTTTTTCTGAGATCATTACCTTTTTCCAACCATAGTCGCTCTTTTTAGTGCAAAGTTTATTGGTTAATTAAGCATAGCTAAATCCTTTTGTGGCTATTATGTATCTAAATCCGCTACGTGTTCATTTTGAATGTGTTCATTTTGATCAATAACCAGCTATCAAGCATAGTCAATGCTAAGGATATTAACGCAGACTTATATTACAAATCCCTGTTTGATAAAAACAGCTATTATGAAAATGTATCGGATCGGGTTTTTTAAAAAAATTTTTGAGACGCATTGGAAAGTTTTCGTTTCTCTCAAAAACTACTCTACCGATTTTCAAAAGAGTAGTACCAATGGGAAGTCCGGCCATTCTCCTGTGTACCTGCATACTCCCCTGGTTTCTTTTCCTTTAACCCACGTTCTAAAGCCTTCGAAAAAGTGTGTGGGTGGATTTTTGACCCAAATTTTTAGGTTTTCTTACATTTTCTCAAAAACTACCCACCCAAATCTGAGATTTTGAGTTAAATGGATAGAACAGGTTATGGGAAGCTCCCCTGCATCAGCGGCTTTGCCCAAATGTTTTACACACAAAGTTATGGCCCTCAAAATAGTCAATTTTTCGATTTCTTGACCGTTTTTTGAAATTTTGGACTTTTCTCGAAAGCTGCCCTCCCAAATCTGAGATTTAAGTTTCAGCCGGTCGGTTCTGAACAATAAGTTCTGAACCTCTGAATTTTTGACCGTTTTTTTTTTGAAATTTTTCAATTTGTCTTGAAAACTACCTCCTAAAACTTGAGGTTGTGGCTTCAGTTAGTGGAATGGGTTGTGGAAAGCTCCGCTGCATAATAGATTACGCCTAAATTTTTTTTACACAAAAAGTTGTGACCCTCCGAAGAGACAAATTTCCGATTTTTGACTGTTTTTTTCAAACATTTTGTTTTTCGAAATCTACCCTCTAAATCTGAGATTTTGGTTTCAATAGGTAAAATGGGTTGTATCAAGCTCCCCTGCATAGGCCTCAACGCCCAAATTTTTGTACACAAAAAGTTATGACCCTCGGAAAAGTAGAATTTTTTTACTGTTTTTTGAATCTTTTTGACTTCTCTCAAAAACTACCCTAGCGAATCTGAGATATTAGTTTCAGTGTAAAGAACGGGTTGTGGGAAGCTCCACTTTATAAGCGGTTACGCCCACATTTTTTACACAACTAGTTTCGACACTCGGAAAAGTCAAACTAATTATGACCCTCGGAAAAGTCAAACCAAAAGTCAAAAAACAGTTTTCAGTAGATTTTCTACTAATTGTCTTAAACTACCATCCCAAACTTGAAATTTTGGGTTCAATGAAGAGAGAAAGGGTTGAGCGAAGTTAGTGTGTGAAAATGCTTACGCTCAATTTTTCCAACACAAAAAAGTTAATGCCTTCAGAAAAGTCAATGTTTTCATTTCTTTTCCGTTTTTTTAAACGAAAACCATTTAATCTGATATCAAAGGTTCAATCAAGGCGGCAATTTGTAAAAAGCCTCCGTGCGTAATTTGCTATGCATTAAAGTTTGAACCCGAAACAATTCTAAGAAATTTCCAAAACTAGAAATTTTTCCTCATCTTTTAATAGAGCAACAATCAAGCTTTTGGTTAAAGCCCAGTTCTTAAATATTTTAAATTACTTACTTCATCAAAAATTATCAAACAGGTTTATCCAGCTTTAGTAGCACTGTAGCTTCAAGGTATCATGGATCTGTAGCGTAGAGATAGGGAAGGAGGCCCGTAACAAAATAAGAGGGTTTGAACCTGGGCAGGGTCGGGTGTTTTTAATGAACTTTTTCGTATAGTAGTTGAAATGTGTCCGCTCTATCAATTTTGTGTCGTTAGTGGTGAATTCCCTTCATTTCAAATTGACTGGTACTGCTTATGCGTCATAATTGGCGTGCGTCACTTAAGCAAAAATTCGCCGATAAAATTACTGGGAAAACTGAGTGAGTCTACAAAATTTCTTAACTTTTACTCATTCAGCTTTCCCAGTAGCATATCGGTAACATTTTTGCTTGTGTATGCGAAGTGCAACTTCGCCTCTGTGTAGAAAAAGACGCGCAAGAGATCTGTTCAAACATTGTAGAGACATAGAAAAACGTAAACAAATAATCATTGGATTACACGAAACAATGTGCTACCGTTGAAAAGCGTAGAGTTTTACTACCAATATATAAGTTATTTTTAAACTATTTACCTTAAAAGTACGAGTTATAATTCCCTCAACTAACAAAATAGGCTTTCACACAATATATTATCGAGCAAGATGTCACCTGAGAGATGTTTAATATACACTTTGAGCCTTTCATCATTTTTATCAAATACATTTTGAATTATGTTTTCATCAAACTTAATAATTGCATTTAAAACACTCATATTCGTTTTTCTAAGCATTTCAATGATTCTTTTGTTTTTTGTCACTTCTGTTTTGAGGACCCTTATTCTGTTTTGTCCACTAACTGACTTTTTTAATTCAGTTTTGGTTATTACTGACTTTAAACCATCATTTTGCGAGTGACCGCGAAATGTTTCAGATGAATTTCTTTAATGTCAGTAGTTTCCGCTCACATCGTGCCTCATGTACACTGTCAAATTTTCTAAGATTTAAGCCTAGTCTCCATGGAAAGTGCTGGTAATTCTCAAAATATGCATTAATAGTTTTTTTTTGGCTGTGCCGTATATAAGTGCTCCATATTCGAATACAGGCCTAACATAAGTGTGGTAAATTTCAAGTAATTGTTTCCTTGTTTAATAATTTCTCAGTGTGTACAGAATCGCAGCGCTTTTGGCTAACTTTTTCGTATTATATACAACATGCTCTTTGAAGTTTGAAATGCTATCAATAACCAAGCCAAGATAGATATATGAAGAAATTTGATCTGAAATTTGATCGTTTTTAAAGTTGGCGATGCTAGTTGTATTTTTGTGAGTACTTCTTGTCAGATTATTAATGGTGAACCAACTATCTAACTTATTTAAATCGTGACTAAACTTTGAGTGAGTTTCTTTTCGAATGTGTCCTGTTAAAACAGTGTTATCGGCAAATAAGTTTATTTGCGAGTGTTTGAGTTGATCAAAAAAGATTATTAATATAGATTATGAAAATTAAACGGCCGAGCAACGAAACTTGTGGCACTACATATGATTAAGTTTTCAGATCTGATCGCTTGTTGCATAAAAAACAGTTTTCTGCTTCCACTTATGTATGATTGAAGTAACTGATGACTTGGTCCGCGTAGTCCATGGTTAAAACACTTTGTCACCAGCAACTTTTGTGGAATTGTGTCAATACCTTTTGTTAAGTCAATGAGGACATTGTCTGTTTTTTTTTCTATTTTAGTTTTTCTTTTTTCTTCCAAGACCAAAATTGAATGCATTGTACTATTTTTCCGATAAGCGTTTTGTGCGAGAATTGGCAACGGTGAAATGGGACGATAGTTGGAGCAATCTGATTTTGACCCCTTGTTTTTGTACAAAGGAATTACTTAAGCAATTTTCAGACAAGCTGGGAAATCATTTTACAAAATAGCCCTATTGATTAACAAGGTCGAAAAGGTTTTATGGTTTTTATCAAATAACTATTGGGGCCTAAATAATCTACCCATAATTTGTTTTAAGATTTAATTTTTTTCAACACTTCACTGACGTTTGTTTTTGGAACACATTGTGTATTTTCAATAAAAAATTTTATGATCTTCAGCCATTTTCTCTCCTATGTTTGTAAAAAAAAAACTGTTCAATTGGTTCGCAGATTGATTGTATTGTTCAACTGACTGTTTTGGAGTTTCGTTTCTAATTTTTTTCTTCATTTGTAAAAATTGGTTTCGCTGTTTGTCTGCTTATATGTTATCTGGTTGTGTATTTGCAAAAAAAGCACTTTTTGTGATACAATTAAGTATTGACTTTCATTTCTTTCTTCTATAAGCTCGCCAAATTGTATCATTTGGTTCATTTTTCAGATTTAAGATGTTTTCTTTTTGAATTAGCTTGTTTCTTGGTATCCTGATTTATCTATGATTCAAAATGCCTTTCTCTAATTTTTTTCTCAATGCATCTATTTATCAGCTTTTCGATTTGCACCTTCATCAGCTTTTCGATTACAATAAAAGCTTGATTTGTTTCCAAACATCCGAATTTGTTTTCGTTTGTCTGAATTCATTTAGCAACCGAAATAGCGATTTTTTTGTCCGTTTGATTAAGTTTTCCAGTTTTTCTAAAATTATTTTACTGTTTTCAATAAATCTGATTCTTTCCTAATTTCGTTCACACAATGAATAATTATTATATTGTGGTCTTTTTTTTCAGATTTGTATCTTGATGCTGTTTTTTGATAGTTTGCATAGACAATACATGTAGCGAAACTTTTTGTTTCACGAGTAATCATAGGCTCTCCGGGGCACAACGGGGTACAGATTTTTGTGGTATCTGAATATATATTTTTTCAAAATCGATATTGAAAGCTTCGCAAATCAAACTTTTGTCAGTTGGTTTTAATTTCTAGGCTAGTAAATGCTTAGCTAAAACTTCAAAGAAATTGTCTATTTTACCATTGGGGCTCCTGTACGAAACCGTCCAAAAAGCCCACCTTTTTAAAAAATTTCTTTTAAATATTGTTTTGATAGTTAACATCTGAGAATGGTCAGTAGTTGTTTTCAATCCCTTTTTTGACATAAAGCCTTACGCCTCCTCCTTTCCTTTCTCTATTGCATGGAAAAAAGTATTGATACATTTCTAGTGTGAAAACGCTCTTCGTTGTTCTCTTTCAGCCATGTTTCTGAAAGCGCTAGAAAATGAAGCTCTGCTGCTTTTTCGAGCTGTAGTACTAAATAAGGAAAGTTTTGTTTGATCGATCTCAGATTCTGTAACCAAATCGTTGCTTGATTTTCTTTTTCATGAAGGTATTTTTTTGTGAATTTTTTTCTCGTAAACTTACCAAAATGTTATAACCAAGCGAATTTGTAATCGCTCTGAGCTATGTTCTTCAATTATTTATGTATAACTTAAAAATAGTTTGACTTTTTTGAAAAATTTGTTACTCTAATTGTGTTCTATTGTTTTATCTAAACCGTGTTAGCCGAGGAAAATCTCAAACCAATTAGACGTTAATTTTGGACGTTCTGTGAATTTAAATTAGCCGTGAAAAATCTCAGACTAGCTGAAGAAATTGTTTGCTCTCAAATCATTGTTCCCTAATTTGTCGAGGAAACTCTCAGAGAATTTCATTCTTGTATTTTTTTCTCTTGGCTTTTCCAATTATCATTAATATCTTTGTTTTTTATTCTTTGAATCTCTTCTGTCCCTCGGGGCAAGGAGAGTTCCAACCCTCTGCATAAAAAAGCCAAAAAAATGCAGCGCAGAAAGTTAACAATCTACTCTTTTTAAAATTTAGCTTCATATGCAATCATAAATGAGAATCCTTAATTTTCGAAATTTCAATAGATTTCTTTGGAACTTCAGATAAGAAAACTCTCACCCATCAGTCTAAAAAAAGCGATTAGAAGATTTGGTGAATTACAATCATGATATATATTTTTTGAAAAGTGGAAAAAAATTCTTTGGAAGTCTAGGCAAGAAAAATCTTTAAACTCACAACCAAAAGAGAAACGATCATAATAATTTTAGTTTAAAAAACACGGGCGTGTTCCTGTGCGAAAAGGGAGAAGGAGCAGAAACCCCAGTTGCTTTAGTTGGATCAAAATTATTTCAATTCAACAATTTACAGTTTGTCACTATTCATCAGTTTGTCTGTTTTTTTTTCCAACTCATAGACCTGTTTTTGCTCTTTTGCACGCAGCAGATTTCTCGTCTACATTTTTCGCTCTACCTTTATCGTTTGTTCCCTCTACTTCGCGGTTATTATTTTTCTTTTTTATCGAGTTCTCCAGCTTTTTGATATCAGGGTGTTATTTGATTGGACCAAACACTTCCCTCTCATCTCTACGTTTGCATAGAACGGTTATTTTGCTGTTTATAGTGGATGTTTCATATCCCTTACTATCAGCCTCTCGCTACAAATTCACTTTTTCTGGTGGGAGAAGTTCATTTATAAATATCTGGTGTCCATTCAATGGGTTTTTTGACCTTGCAGTTTTTTCCTTCTACCGTACACAAAATCTTTGTGGTTGAAATATATGAATTTAACTATCACTCTAGGCATCAATCCCTATGAAAGAGGCTCCTCTCTTGGTACAATATGAATTGTTTTCAAGTCTCCAATATCAATACTCTCAGTTTTTAAAAACTCAACAAAAATTGCACAATGTTTCGACCCAAAAAATGACTTCGCTTTCTATTCTCTGAGGTTCGTTTCAGTTTAGCGATTGAACGGTCTGACTTATTTTGCTTTTTTGGCTAAAATAGACCTAAGATTGCTAAAATTAAGAATAAGTGTTCGCGAGATTTTGCTTCAAGAATTTAAATTATAAATGTTTTCAAATGTCAATGAAGGACATTAGTAGATTTTATTGACCTCCGAAAGTTTTTACCCTTATAATTGGGTAGTAGACTTTTCACCGTTTTTCAGTTTGGTTAAAGGATGTCCAATTTGAGAAGGTCTCCAGTTTCACGCAAATTGTATTTTTAATGGCCCTAGTTCTTGGTCTGAAGTTACTGTGATTAGAATTAATGAGGTACTGGGTCTACAGCTGAGAAAAATGCGATAATTTTTTTTTTCTCGCAGGCCTGATTGGTTGAGTTTGAGTTTGGTTGATTCTTGCGTTGATCAATACAGTGCTGATTACACTAGCGTCAGTAGGAACCTTTTTTAAAACTAGCTGGCAAATAAAAGTGTTCATCAAAAGTGTTCTTCTATTTGGAAATTTCACTCTAGCATTGGAAATTGCATAGCACTGTCCTCTGCTTTATTTGTGGCTACTGTTTAATCTTGTATCTTCTATATGTTAATAAGCTTCCGTAGCTGAGTGGCTAGTGTGTGACTCCTAATCTCAAGGTCGCAGGTTCGATTCTCAACGGTAGCCGATTTTCAACTAGTTCGAGGCTTATACTTTTTTTTATAGTACTCTATAAGGCTGCTTTTTGTCGTGTTCTCGCTAGTCTTTGCAACAAAATGAACAAAATTTGAATTTTCAAATGCGGTTTTCCCAAATGGGTTAAGATTAGACAAAAAATGAACAAAACAAATATTGCTTATGGTTAATCCAGAATTAATTTGGTGCAATTTTTTCCTCGAAATTTTTAAATAATCAAGAATTACGCTGAAGCTGCTAAGTTAATTAATGACAAAGTTATATTAAAAGAGGCCGCTTACACCGCCCAACAAAGATCTAGAAGGGTAAAACTAGGCTTATTCTGTTGAAGATAATTTTTTTATTGATAGCTAAAAAAGGTCAATTGTACTTTATAAAAATCAAAATGGCTAAAAACAAACTTCAAGCGTTTTACGCAAATCTTTTTGGGAAGATTTGCCATTCTAGAATTTTGCTGGGCTGTGTAAGAGACTTCTTTTGATACAACTTCAATCAATTTCGATACAATCCTTATCAATTAGTTTGATAGCTTCAGCGTAATTCTTGATAAATTAAACAAGCCAAAATGTTCTATTCTTGGCGTAAAGTTTTTGTTGAGAATTCCGTGGAAAAAGTTGCACCATATCAATTCTGTTAAAACTCTAAGTAATTTTTGTCGCAGCAACTCTTCAATTTTTGTCATCTCTTAATCAATTTGAGAAAAACGCCTTCATAAACTTCAAATGTTGCTCAAGTCTGGTTAATTTAAGTCAGCACTGTAGCGTGCTGATGATTGTGATGTGATTTGCAGGTGCATCATTCTGACGATTGACAAGCTGGAGTGTATGCCTGGAGGGAGTGAGAGCAGTGCAATGCGGGATACGAGTGACAATGTATTAGTGCGCAGGTTCTCCCACTTCCAGACACGCGTGAAGTACATCTGCCGAATTCTCAGGTTAATAACATTTTTTTATTTGACACTAACAAGCCTAGCCCTGGGCTAAAATATTAAAGCTTAACTAAACGATATGCGATCCATTGGAGTTTCATTTATATTTATCGTTCCACGCTTTTTAATTTTAATATTGAATCTGATGGTAAAGCTTTAAACTGTTGCTGTCCGATGTTGCTGAATGAAGTTGCTGTCCAACTAAACCCTTTTTCAGTATTTGTTAGGATTATTGAGAGGAAATAAGAGTAAGACTAAGATCAGTATTAGATTAAGAAGCTGCGCCAAACGATCCAGCCGAAAATTAGATAGCGTGACAAACAGACGTTTTTTTTTTAGTCTGAAATTACTCTACGAGTTAGCACAAAACAGGAGTCAACTCATTTGACTTTGCTCAATTGAATTTGATTTTGATGTACGTCTGAATAATTACAGATTTTTGATCACAAAATATGTAATATATACATCAGGAATGCTTTACGGGTTATTCAATCCTTCAGGAAGCATCCCTTTAAGTTACCTAGAACAGATTAAGGGCGCTAAAATGAAAATTACTGATAGCAAAAAGTGAAAACATACTTTCATTATCACGAACGTAAAGCCTAGAGAACGTTTTGAAAAAAAACTTGAACCTAACTTCAGACAATTATTTGAGGTCCTTAGGAATAAAATTATTATCGATTAAAAATTATGAGCCTTGATGACTTTCACTGAAACCGAGTTTTTCATTTTGGAGGTTTTAATACCGGGCAATGTAAGTAAACCTTTTGTCTTAGATCTGGTTGATCTTACATTCCAACAATCATCTAAATATAAAAAAATTGAGTGGTGGTTCTTTTCTGAGTGTTTTAAAAGTTTCATAAGAATTTGAGCAAAATTTATTTCATAAACTGTATCGATGTTGACGAGTGAGTGAAGACATTCCTTGATATGATCAAAATTACGTTTGAAAAATATAGTTCTCAAAAATCTTTTTCTGAGCTTAGTAAATTTTATCCATATTTCTTTTTACGCTACACCCATAAGCAATCAAACCGTATGCTATGATAGGAATTGCGTATGTTGAATAGAGTCTCAAAAGATGATCACACACTAACCACTCAGCCACGGAAGCGTATTAATAGAGTCTCAAAAGAAAAGATGATAGAATCTCAAAAGAGAAAAACATAGTCTGGCACGATACATGACCCATCAAATTTTCTTAGCTTAGTACAATTTTAATTTGATTTGTTCACTGAAATTGAGTTCTCTGTCTAGCGTGACTCCAAGGTGTTTGAAGCTGCTAGTATATTCAAGCTATTCTTCTGCCAAAGGAAATTCATTTAGGGCATTTGTTTTTCCAAAAAATTGAAGTTTGCATTTCGATTGATGAATAGTCAACTTATTACTGGCACATCAATCATCAACTCGCTTTATATCATCACTAAAAAGTTCAATAGAGGATGCATGCTTCGAAGCACTCATTAGGGTTGTATCAATTGATTCTTATACATTTTCAAACGTTGAGATGAAATCCACTTTGTCATTTTTGTACTTTTTCAGCGTTCGTTTTAAGCGTAAGCAAGAATTTGAAACTGATTGTTCGTTTGACTTGATGCTCTTTTTTTGACTTGATGCTCCCAATTGAGCTTATATTGCAACTTGTGGCGCATATGAAAGTTTTGCAACGGTAATCAAATGATTGCTGGGCTCTCATCTATCTGCCAATTGCACTACAGCAACAAAACAGAATGGAAAATAGCAATAAAAGGATTTGACGTAAATCCTAAACAGTTAAATGTTAATGAACGAAGTGAATCGATACTTACTCACACCTGGTTCTTTTTTTTACTTCTTGGAAAAAATGAAAAAAAAAAAACAAAAGTGGAATTGCAGCAAAAAGTGGTGCGTTACACTACTTTCAAAAGATGTTTTAATCGGAATCACATGAGTTAAGATGATATCCTACTGATCCAGTTTTCTCAGATCTCTCAAATTAGTTTCTTAACAAAGAGTCATTTGCTCAACCAAATTCACTTGAAAAAAGCAGCTATGTTGCCATTTCTTTGAGTTCTTTGACACACCTCCAATACTGCTGGCTTCGTTTGACAATAAGCAATTTGCAATCAATGGTTTATGTGACTGCTCTTTTTACAGGTGTATTAACGTGGATACCCTGACACAGGACAATGTGTCGTGTCTGAATACAGCCCTGGTGATTCTCCTCTTTGCCAAAGACAGAGGTCAACTGCCGCTGTATCTGGAGGCGCTGCAGGAAGTGGAGATGAGCAGTCCGAGGGATTGTCAGCTGACGTTCTACTTTGAAAATATGATGCAGCTGTGCAAGTTCTGGAAGAGGTACGTTCTCGATAACTTGATAAAAACAGACCCCTCGTAGATTTAAGATCTGCAAGAGTTTGTTGTCAAGTGTTTTCAACTTTAAAAATGTACTAAATACCGAACAGGTTGAAGCATTTTGCCTGTCACATTAATCTGATTGGTCTAAAAAATAAAAATGATAGAAAAACTTGATTGGAATGTTATAGAAAAATGATTACCATTTTCACTGGAAATCTATCTATCTATCTATCTATCTATCTATCTATATATTTATCGAATGACATGTTTTTCGTACTCATAAGGCGCAATGTTTAAGAAATGCCACCGAGCTCAACGTTTAAGAAGGCTTAAATCAGAAAGTTTAAGAGTCATTTAGAGCAGCCATTGAATATTCTAGAGTCTTTTTGAAAAAATTCCGGAACTTCGTAAAAACGAACTCAATTCAACTGCAAGGCTAAAAGGTACCTGCCTTTTTGTTGTCCAAAATTTTGCGTTTACGGGTTTATTTCACTCTTTTTTTCAGTAAACGGATTTATATCAGTCGAATCAACTAAAAACAACGACCACCATGCTTAGAAAAATTAACTTTAGCAAATCGATTTGCGGTCTATGAATTAACTTGAAATATTTTAAAGTTACAAAATAAAATAAAATTAGAAAACTTAAAATTTTTGCGAGCTGTTTAAGTCTATGAAATACCTTATTTCAAAGTTTCAGAGCTGGCATAGCTTGCATAGAAAAACTAAACTTCTCGCGAACATGATTCACTCTATGAAAAATTTTGAAATAAAAAACATTGCAACGTTTTTGTAGCTTGCATAGGAAATTTATACGTTTTCGCAAAATTATTAGGTCTAAGAAACAAATTAGAGTTTTTCCATAGTTCATCCCACGACTATTTTCCTCAGAAAAGCTTTTCGAGAAACGATTCGGTCTAACAACTAACTTGAAGTACTTCAAAGCTTCATCGATTGAATGGCTTCAATAGAAAACCTGTATTTTTTTTGCCATCATAAAATAAATTTTGAAGTTTCATTGCTAGAATGACTTGCGTAGGAAAACGTTAACTTCTCGGAAAATTTAATTTTTGCGGCAAACGATTCACTGCGTGAAAGAATTTAAATGATAATGTTTATTAGTTTGAATGTTCTGCTTAAAAAAAGATTGTTTCTCGAACTGATTCGCTCTATGAAGCAACTTGAAATATTTCAAAGTTTCGACACTTGAAAGGTTTCAATAGAATACCTTTAACTTTTTTCATCTGATTCCCTTCGTGAATTAGCTCGAAAAATTTGAAGTTTCATTGCTTGAATAGTTCGCTTAGGAAAAATGTTTTTTTTTGTAAACTGATTTGGTCTATAACCTAACTTGAAATAGTTTAAAATTTCATAGCTTTAATTGCCTGCCTATAATAAAATAACGTTTATCGAACTAATTTGGTCTAGGAAATAACTTGAAATGTTCCACAGCTTGAAAAGCTTTCTAAAAAAACTCGCGAACCGATTCGCGTTCTATGAAATAACTTGAAATACATCAAACTTCCAGAGCTGGAGTTACTCGTTTAGAAAACTTCAACTTTTCGCGAACTGATTTTCAGTCTATTAAATAACTTGAACAGTTTTTCGCGAACTGATTCAGTTTATGAAATAAGTATATCAAAATTTCAGAGCTGGAATTACTTGCCTAGAAAAACTTTTCGCGAACAGATTTAGTCTATATGAAATAACCTGAAAACTTTCAAAGTTTCATTGCTGGTATAGCTTGCTGAAGAAAAACTCAAACTACTCGGAAAAAACGTTCGTTCTATAAAAACAACTTGAATTGTTCAGATTTGATATCGATTAGTTACCTTATTAATTCAAACTTCAATTTTGTGAGGACTGATTCGTTTCATGAATTAACTTAAAGTATTTCAAAGTTTCGTAATTTGAATAGCTTGCTTAGAAAATCTTGAGTAGCTCATAGGAGATTGATCATAGGAGACACGCTTGCTAGTTTTTTTTTATTCGCCTGACCTTTTGGCATTCGCTGAAGAGTTTTCCGTAGGAAGTATTGCCTTGGAGAGATGCATAATTTTTTCTGTGTCTTTGCTGCAGGCATTACCAACCCAACGGACAAGACGTCAAATGTCTGGTGGAGGGATCCGGGATTGAGTTCAGTCGCTGGCTCGGCTGTGTAGACACCCTTTCCTCCACAGACCCCAATTGCAATACATCTCTCTCATTCTACTCACCCAAACTCCTCATTCGACAGGAGTCGCTGAACAGTTTGTGATTACGTAACCAACGTGAGAGATTGCGTCATAATTGTAGCATAAGCGTTACGGCATTCTAGCGACATGCTGAAGTCATACGGATACTATTCCGACACAAAACTCTTTTGAAACTCACGTCGGCTGAAGAAGAAACAAAAAGAAGCAACGAAACACCTTTCGAGATTGTTTCTTAGTTAGCCTTTCTTTCGCTTAAACTGCAAGCTAAAACTCACTTGAGGATGAAAAACCACTAATAATTTGGTGAAAAACTTTAACTTAAATTTGACTGCAGGTGCTTCAGTTGATCAAGAGTAATTTAGTTAGATTAATTTAGACGCATATCAGTGTGCTGGTTTTTAGTTTTCTGGTTGGTATAAAAGCAAAGTCGTTTAGTAATGAGTTTTTGACTAAATTGTATTTGAATCTGGATAAATCTTACGTCTTCTCATTAAGAAAAATAGTTACGGGATCTCTTAAACAATCCTTTCTATGTAACCTGGTAAAAAATGTCCATAGCTGTAAAGGACTAATTCTATAGTACCTCTCTATTGCAAAGTGAGATTTGTCACCGAGTTAAGTATTCGCTTATGAACTGGTCCTTAGATTCAGATTGATGGTTTTAGATATCGGAAATATTAAATAGTAAAATTATTACGGTATACTAATTTATTTGTTTTTCAGTTATTCGAATGATTTATTTCCAGCTGTGCCTCTTAAACGTCTCTCCGTGAGATGTGCATTGGCACTGCATATTCAATAAACGACAGGACAGTAACTCAGCTGGAGCGAAAAAGCAGAGTAGTGCCTCTGAACAACAAAGCCAACGGCCCCATCCCTCGCAATAAATACCGCCATTCGTCTGTCTTTCTATCCGTTCTGAGTTTATTTTGATCAAAACGATAACTCGGTCTGCATTTTAGTTGATAGCTTTACCATTTAGGCTTCATTTTGTTTTGATTGCTGCATTTATTGGCTGTTATTTTGCATCATATTATGTAATGTGTAAGTGGAAATTATGGCGCTGATGACAAACAACATAATTCTGCCCTCCGCTCCTTCTCCGGGCGCCCGGATGGTAGGTTGCGGTTGGGCCCCCTCCGAACCCAATTACTACTCCTTGGACCCCCTGAGTGTCATATGTCTCTTAGACAACGGACTCGTCGTGGAAGCAGACATAGGCAAACACACTACCTTCAATCAGTTGTACGAAATAACGATGGCATTAGCCAAGCAGTCCCCCCTCTATTCGGCCGCCCATTTTGAGGGGGTGGAGTTCACGATGTTATATTACACGCAGTCTGGCGAGGAGAAGCATGGATTGACGCATGAGACTGTGTTGTCGACACTCGAGGGCGAGAACTTCGGCGGACCCTTGCTAGGAGTGGTCAAGTTTGAAAAGAAATCCTCAAGGTCAGCAGAGCTTCTATTTTAGACATTAATAACAATTTTTAATTGAAGGAAAAAGGACAATGTTTTGTAGCTCAATTTTTTAAAAAGAATTTTAGTTTTGAAGTAGAAAATTGGGATGCAATAATTCTTATGCTTCTAGATTGTTGTAATCGCGTATCGCAGTTGTGCATCATTCGTTAAAGCGATTTTAATCATGAAGCAGTAAAGAAAAGGATCATCTACAGGCAAAAGTTTTTTGTAAAGCAAATTTTTTCTCAAGCATTTTGATGAGTCAACGTCTTGATGATTTTTTTTGCTTGTTTTTTTTTTCTGGAAAAAGTCATAAATTTTGTGCACTCTAAATTTTGATTACTCGCGGTTTGAGTTTCAATTTCTATTTAAGTTCTGTTCATTTCCTTTGTTGAAAGGAAGGCAAGCTCCACCATCGAACAGCAAATGCGTGAAGTTTACGAAAAACGTGATCGAATTCTAGTTTCGAAAGTGGGTTTATTTTTTAGATTTCGCAGCGGAATAAGAAAATTATCTTTTGATCCAGTTGGGTCAAATTTATAGTTGACCATATATTTTTTTGAAATTCGTAAAATGGAATTTCAAAAATACGTCAGTGTTTTTTCTGTTTTCTTGAGTTCTTTGACTCTTTTCCAATTGTCTGTTGGCTATGTTTCAAGTCATCATAAACAAGTTTGTTTCAAGTGATTGCGCGCTTTTCCTCTATGAAAGAAGTTAAAGATAAGCTTAAAGATAAGGTTCAAAAAAGTAACAAGGTTTTTGGTATCAGAATGATAAAAAATGACGAATAATAATTTTAGTTTGTTTCAGTTTCGACGAGCATTCACGCATGGCGTCTATACTGCATTGTGACGTCGAAGATATCCAAGCTCTGCTGCAGCTGGAGGATAAGAGCGACCGGAAGGAGATAGAGGTGGAGGTGTTCCAGTTCAGACGTCACGCCAGCGTCGTATCTCTGGCAGCTGTGCTAGACAGAATACACTCAGTGAAGAGAGAGAAGACCGTACCACACAAATACTTGGCGTTCTTGACAACTGTGTGTCCTCTCACACTTCCAACAATACCAATCAGAATGGTAATGAAATTATTTTAATGCATTTAAATTTATCCAGGTTTTATTCAGTTAATGTCAAGAAAGTATTTTTTCCCGAATTTTTGGTTGTAAATTGTACCCGTTCGAGTGGTTGAGCTTGTTAAGCGTAATCAACGTAATGAAGACTCTTATATAGGTCTTGCTGATTTTTTTTTCAGGAAAAAGTCTTAAAATATTGATTCACTTAGGTGTATATGCACTTTTTGCGTTCAATTGAAATTCATCAATTGAAAGTGACGTAAATAGCACTCTCCAAATACGAACATGCAAATGGCGCGGAATTTTGTGAACGAATTTTGTGAACGAAGTAGGATTTAATTTTCAGATTTCCAGCGGAATAAAAACTTTGCCTGTTGATCCAGTTTTCTCAAGTTGGGTTAATGTTATCAAAAAAGCGTCAATCAAATCGTTCTAGAAATTCAAAGAGCTAAAAGGGTATCTATTTTTGTCTTTAAAATTCGAAAGTTGAGTTTTTTTCAACTAAGTCAGTGTTTTTTTTTACGTTTACTTGCGTGCATTACTCTTTTCCAATCTTCGATTGGCTATGTTGTTACTTTAGTAAGTGTTACTGAACGAAGTAATTCATGGTTTTTTCTAATGTCTTGATATTTTTTCGTGTTTTTTTTTCAGGTAAAAGTCGTTAATTTGTGCGCGCTCAAATTTGATTTTTCACAGTTCGATTTCCGATTTCTTTTAAGTTCAATTTAAATGAATTTGCTTTAGTGGAGGCAAATTAAGCTCTCTAATTAAGAAAGTGGACATGTCGCAAAAATGTGAACTACTATTAAAAATGACCTAAAACATACTTCTCTCTGCTTTGTTTAGTTTTCTGAAACAAATATTGATCATGAAATGTAGTGAAATCCAAAGTTTCCGTTTTTCTGTTGGCTCTGTTAATTGATCCAGTTTTCTCAAATTGGTTAAATTTTATCAAAAAAATTGTCAATCTTAAAATGTTTATGAAATTCAGAGGTTAATGGTGACATATACTGTTTGATATTTGAAAATTGAAAAATGCATAAAAATAATGTTTGTGTGGATTTTGTTTTTCATTTACAGTGTTCAAACTCTTTTGGCGATGTTCTAGTTTACTTTTTTAACCTATAAAATTATTGCTAAACAGTTAAGTGATCAATTTTAGTATATGCCTGATGCTCTAGCTTTTAAGAGGCATTAACGTAGTTCATAAATGAAATTTCGCCTTTTGACTTTCGATTTCACTTTTGATGTTTACTTCATTTCATTTGTTGAAAGGAAGGCAAACACCACTATCCAACAGCAATAGTGTAAAACTCACAAAAAAAGTAACGATTTCTAGTTTGGAACGTGGATTTTAATGTTCAGTTTTCCCAGCGGCATAAAACATTAGCTATTGATCCAGTTTTAACTTAATTAGATCAAAAGTTATAATCATAAATTGTTCTGGAAAATAAAAGAGCTTTCAGGCCATATTTTTTTCGAGGAAAATTGAATGAAAATTGAGTTTTTCATAAACCACATTTTTTTCTATTTCCCTGCGTTAATGACTCTTTCTTATCTCTCTGTTGGCTATGTTTTTGTCAGTTCAATTGAAATTGTATTATCCGCTTCATTGATAGCAGGTACTATAAGACAAACAGGTGATATGGTGCAGTTGTGGAAGATATTAAACACTACGGAGATATTAAACAATATTAACTACGGAGGTTGGGGTTCGAGTTACGTAGCAAGCAATTTCTTCTACATTGTTCAGATTTTGTTCTACATTTTTCTGTTTCCTTGATTTTCAAAGCTCACTTTGACCATTTTTAACTTTATTTTGTTTAGGTCGTCTGCTTTTGTTCGTAGGAAAATTTTTTAAAACTGGAGCACATTCAATTTTGATTTTTCGCTGCCGATTTCTATTCAAGTTCAATTGATTGTTTTTTGCTAAAAGGAAGGTGAAAAACCCTCTAGAATTCCAAGAAAGGAATCGGCAAAAAAAGACGTGGTTGACTGCAAGTTTCGAAAGGGGATTTTTTTTTGAAATATCTCAGCGGTATAAAAAGTTATTTATTGATCCAGTTTTTCCTAATTGGGTTAATTTTTACTCTTGCGATAAGCAAGGGTGTCGATACCGGGTACTAAATTTTTTTTTTGTAAATAACTTAAAATGGTAGATTTTGAAGGTAGTTTATAAAGGTATATTTATAAATGGGCTTCTTTCATGTTCAGCCATTGTAGGTGGCACATGCAAGATCTTGCTTTATAATTTTTTACAGTAAATGACTCGGTTGATTTCCAGCTCATTAAGTTTGACGTAGTTCAGGCTCTTAAATAGTTCGTGATATAGTTCGTTTTTCCAGAAAAGTCTAAAGTTTGTTCAGGATCCAATTTACTTTTTCGCGGTCTGATTTTTGAATTGTTTTGAAGTTTAGTTCATTTCCTTTAATAAAAGGAAGGCGAAACCCACTATGGAACGGCAAATTTTCAAAGGTCACGAAAAACGTGATCGACATCTATCTTCGAAAGTGGAATTTAATTAACAGATTTCTCAGCAAAATATGAACATTACCTATTGATCCAGTTTTCAAAGAGCGTCAAGGGAATCTATTCAAAGAGCGTCAGGGGATTTTTTTTCTTTGAAATTCGAAGTTTGAAGCTTTTCAAAAAACAACTTTTTTTTCCAACTGTCCGTTGGATATGTTTAAACGCTATCAGTGAATGCATATCGTTTTTTTTTACCGACAGGACCAGGAGCTTGAGCAGCTTCTGAGATCGAATGTGCGACACATCGAGCTGATACACCTGGAAAGCAACGGCGAAACAAGCAGCAACAGTTGTGTCGCCTCGCCCCTCGTCATCCCAGATATGGACTACCTGTCGGCCACTGTCTCCGACTTGTTATCCAAAGCCACCCCTCTTGTAGACCCGTCCGCCTCTTCAGATGCGTCTTCAGTGGGTCTCCAAAACAGCAGTAGTCTAAATGGGTTCTCAACTAGTAGCAGTGGAAGTAGCTCCATGTATAACAGATATAATAGGAACGACAACCTCCTCAAGTCATCAAGATTCGTCATCAAAGTGTTCGGCTGCGAGATATACCTCACAGAAGATGTGCTATTTATTGAGGCGAGGACACTCTTATAATAACATGAATATAGGCAATAATAGGAATATGGATACATGTTTTAAGTTCATGTTTTGCAAAGGGGGAAAATTCAGTTAAATTATGAAAAATGAAAAAAATATTTAATCGCAACTAATACGAATTAGTCTGAAGTGTATGATAAGATGTTTATATCATAAGAAAATAAATTTATTTATTCAAGTTAGTTATACTTGAATGAATCAGACTTCTTTAGAACTTCATTCACTGATGTTCATTAAATGTATTCGGTTTTTTTAAATGTTGAACGAGCAAAACAAAAACAATCTGATAAATGTTCGAATCTTGTATGCTAACAGTGGTTTTCCTAATAACAGGGATATGAGTTTCGATTGTTTCTCCAGGTGCCAGAGATAGTATCACAGTTGACGCAGCAGCTGTACGACAGAGGAGCGAGTGTGGTGTTGCGTCTCATCCTGTGCGAGAAAGCAGACGTCGTTAACAAGTACAACTTCGATAAGTTCCAGCACTGCACGGACATGGCCAATGACCTGGCCCACAAAAAACAGGACTTGGAGAAGGCCGGTTAGTTATAATATACAACAGATAAGTAATATGACCAATGACCTGGCCCACACAAAACAGGACTTGGAGAAGGCCGGTTAGTTATAATATACAACAGATAAGTAATATGACCAATGACCTGGCCCACACAAAACAGGACTTGGAGAAGGCCGGTTAGTTATAATATACAACAGATAAGTAATATGACCAATGACCTGGCCCACACAAAACAGGACTTGGAGAAGGCCGGTTAGTTATAATGTACAACAGATAAGTAATATGACCAATGACCTGGCCCACACAAAACAGGACTTGGAGAAGGCCGGTTAGTTATAATATACAACAGATAAGTAATATGACCAATGACCTGGCCCACACAAAACAGGGCTTGGAGAAGGCCGGTTAGTTATAATATACAACAGATAAGTAATATGACCAATGACCTGGCCCACACAAAACAGGACTTGGAGAAGGCCGGTTAGTTATAATATACAACAGATAAGTAATATGACCAATGACCTGGCCCACACAAAACAGGGCTTGGAGAAGGCCGGTTAGTTATAATATACAACAGATAAGTAATATGACCAATGACCTGGCCCACACAAAACAGGACTTGGAGAAGGCCGGTTAGTTATAATGTACAACAGATAAGTAATATGACCAATGACCTGGCCCACACAAAACAGGACTTGGAGAAGGCCGGTTAGTTATAATATACAACAGATAAGTAATATGACCAATGACCTGGCCCACACAAAACAGGACTTGGAGAAGGCCGGTTAGTTATAATGTACAACAGATAAGTAATATGGCCAATGACCTGGCCCACACAAAACAGGACTTGGAGAAGGCCGGTTAGTTATAATATACAACAGATAAGTAATATGACCAATGACCTGGCCCACACAAAACAGGACTTGGAGAAGGCCGGTTAGTTATAATATACAACATAAGTAATATGACCAATGACCTGGCCCACACAAAACAGGGCTTGGAGAAGGCCGGTTAGTTATAATATACAACAGATAAGTAATATGACCAATGACCTGGCCCACACAAAACAGGACTTGGAGAAGGCCGGTTAGTTATAATGTACAACAAATAAGTAATATGACCAATGACCTGGCCCACACAAAACAGGACTTGGAGAAGGCCGGTTAGTTATAATATACAACAGATAAGTAATATGACCAATGACCTGGCCCACACAAAACAGGACTTGGAGAAGGCCGGTTAGTTATAATGTACAACAGATAAGTAATATGGCCAATGACCTGGCCCACACAAAACAGGACTTGGAGAAGGCCGGTTAGTTATAATGTACAACAGATAAGTAATATGACCAATGACCTGGCCCACACAAAACAGGACTTGGAGAAGGCCGGTTAGTTATAATATACAACAGATAAGTAATATGACCAATGACCTGGCCCACACAAAACAGGACTTGGAGAAGGCCGGTTAGTTATAATGTACAACAGATAAGTAATATGACCAATGACCTGGCCCACACAAAACAGGACTTGGAGAAGGCCGGTTAGTTATAATATACAACAGATAAGTAATATGACCAATGACCTGGCCCACACAAAACAGGGCTTGGAGAAGGCCGGTTAGTTATAATATACAACAGATAAGTAATATGACCAATGACCTGGCCGACACAAAACAGGACTTGGAGAAGGCCGGTTAGTTATAATGTACAACAGATAAGTAATATGACCAATGACCTGGCCCACACAAAACAGGACTTGGAGAAAGCCGGTTAGTTATAATATACAACAGATAAGTAATATGACCAATGACCTGGCCCACACAAAATAGGACTTGGAGAAGGCCGGTTAGTTATAATGTACAACAGATAAGTAATATGGCCAATGACCTGGCCCACACAAAACAGGACTTGGAGAAGGCCGGTTAGTTATAATATACAACAGATAAGTAATATGACCAATGACCTGGCCCACACAAAACAGGACTTGGAGAAGGCCGGTTAGTTATAATATACAACAGATAAGTAATATGACCAATGACCTGGCCCACACAAAACAGGACTTGGAGAAGGCCGGTTAGTTATAATATACAACAGATAAGTAATATGACCAATGACCTGGCCCACACAAAACAGGACTTGGAGAAGGCCGGTTAGTTATAATATACAACAGATAAGTAATATGACCAATGACCTGGCCCACACAAAACAGGGCTTGGAGAAGGCCGGTTAGTTATAATATACAACAGATAAGTAATATGACCAATGACCTGGCCCACACAAAACAGGACTTGGAGAAGGCCGGTTAGTTATAATATACAACAGATAAGTAATATGACCAATGACCTGGCCCACACAAAACAGGACTTGGAGAAGGCCGGATAGTTATAATATACAACAGATAAGTAATATGACCAATGACCTGGCCCACACAAAACAGGACTTGGAGAAGGCCGGTTAGTTATAATATACAACAGATAAGTAATATGACCAATGACCTGGCCCACACAAAACAGGGCTTGGAGAAGGCCGGTTAGTTATAATATACAACAGATAAGTAATATGACCAATGACCTGGCCCACACAAAACAGGACTTGGAGAAGGCCGGTTAGTTATAATATACAACAGATAAGTAATATGACCAATGACCTGGCCCACACAAAACAGGGCTTGGAGAAGGCCGGTTAGTTATAATATACAACAGATAAGTAATATGACCAATGACCTGGCCCACACAAAACAGGACTTGGAGAAGGCCGGTTAGTTATAATATACAACAGATAAGTAATATGACCAATGACCTGGCCCACACAAAACAGGACTTGGAGAAGGCCGGTTAGTTATAATATACAACAGATAAGTAATATGACCAATGACCTGGCCCCACACAAAACAGGACTTGGAGAAGGCCGGTTAGTTATAATATACAACAGATAAGTAATATGACCAATGACCTGGCCCACACAAAACAGGACTTGGAGAAGGCCGGTTAGTTATAATATACAACAGATAAGTAATATGACCAATGACCTGGCCCACACAAAACAGGACTTGGAGAAGGCCGGTTAGTTATAATATACAACAGATGAGTAATATGACCAATGACCTGGCCCACACAAAACAGGGCTTGGAGAAGGCCGGTTAGTTATAATATACAACAGATAAGTAATATGACCAATGACCTGGCCCACACAAAACAGGACTTGGAGAAGGCCGGTTACTTATAATATACAACAGATAAGTAATATGACCAATGACCTGGCCCACACAAAACAGGACTTGGAGAAGGCCGGTTAGTTATAATATACAACAGATAAGTAATATGACCAATGACCTGGCCCACACAAAACAGGACTTGGAGAAGGCCGGTTAGTTATAATGTACAACAGATAAGTAATATGACCAATGACCTGGCCCACACAAAACAGGACTTGGAGAAGGCCGGTTAGTTATAATATACAACAGATAAGTAATATGACCAATGACCTGGCCCACACAAAACAGGACTTGGAGAAGGCCGGTTAGTTATAATGTACAACAGATAAGTAATATGACCAATGACCTGGCCCACACAAAACAGGACTTGGAGAAGGCCGGTTAGTTATAATATACAACAGATAAGTAATATGACCAATGACCTGGCCCACACAAAACAGGGCTTGGAGAAGGCCGGTTAGTTATAATATACAACAGATAAGTAATATGACCAATGACCTGGCCCACACAAAACAGGACTTGGAGAAGGCCGGTTAGTTATAATATACAACAGATAAGTAATATGACCAATGACCTGGCCCACACAAACAGGGCTTGGAGAAGGCCGGTTAGTTATAATATACAACAGATAATTAATATGACCAATGACCTGGCCCACACAAAACAGGACTTGGAGAAGGCCGGTTAGTTATAATATACAACAGATAAGTAATATGACCAATGACCTGGCCCACACAAAACAGGACTTGGAGAAGGCCGGTTAGTTATAATATACAACAGATAAGTAATATGACCAATGACCTGGCCCACACAAAACAGGACTTGGAGAAGGCCGGTTAGTTATAGTATACAACAGATAAGTAATATGACCAATGACCTGGCCCACACAAAACAGGACTTGGAGAAGGCCGGTTAGTTATAATATACAACAGATAAGTAATATGACCAATGACCTGGCCCACACAAAACAGGACTTGGAGAAGGCCGGTTAGTTATAATATACAACAGATAAGTAATATGACCAATGACCTGGCCCACACAAAACAGGGCTTGGAGAAGGCCGGTTAGTTATAATATACAACAGATAAGTAATATGACCAATGACCTGGCCTACACAAAACAGGACTTGGAGAAGGCCGGTTAGTTATAATATACAACAGATAAGTAATATGACCAATGACCTGGCCCACACAAAACAGGGCTTGGAGAAGGCCGGTTAGTTATAATATACAACAGATAAGTAATATGACCAATGACCTGGCCCACACAAAACAGGACTTGGAGAAGGCCGGTTAGTTATAATATACAACAGATAAGTAATATGACCAATGACCTGGCCCACACAAACAGGGCTTGGAGAAGGCCGGTTAGTTATAATATACAACAGATAATTAATATGACAAATGACCTGGCCCACACAAAACAGGACTTGGAGAAGGCCGGTTAGTTATAATATACAACAGATAAGTAATATGACCAATGACCTGGCCCACACAAAACAGGACTTGGAGAAGGCCGGTTAGTTATAATATACAACAGATAAGTAATATGACCAATGACCTGGCCCACACAAAACAGGACTTGGAGAAGGCCGGTTAGTTATAGTATACAACAGATAAGTAATATGACCAATGACCTGGTCCACACAAAACAGGACTTGGAGAAGGCCGGTTAGTTATAATATACAACAGATAAGTAATATGACCAATGACCTGGCCCACACAAAACAGGACTTGGAGAAGGCCGGTTAGTTATAATATACAACAGATAAGTAATATGACCAATGACCTGGCCCACACAAAACAGGGC